TCCATACTGAAGGCTGTGGTCTTTGATCTTCATTAGTAAGTGCTTCAAGTTCTCTTCTCTTTTTGCAAGCAAGGTTGTGTCATCTGTGTATCACAGGTTCTTAATGAGCCTTCCTCCAATCCTGATATTGCATTCTTCATGGAAATAAAATGAAGGGGTTTTATTCATTATTTTCCACATCCTTGCCATTGTAAAGCACCTGTGCCCTCACACTGCTCAGGAAACTGAAATAGAACACAGACACTAGGGAAGCTTGTTTACTTCTACATTTTCCATTTTTGCCAAAAGTGTTCCTGTGGGCATTGTTGTACCAACAGTGTGAATTCTCTCCTCGAGGCTGCACAGGCGTTCCTTCTGGCCTTTCCCCCAACCTCCTCCTAATTTACTCAGATGATGGCCTCCAATGGGACACTTCCTTTGTCTAGCTGGGATGACAGATGGCAGAGCTTCCACTGGAATTGGCATTAATAGGACTCAGAGGAGCTTCCAAGACTGAATTGAGAGGCCATCCCTCTCCGCCTCCAGAGACTTAGTCCATCACATTTTGAATCCATCTTTGCACTTACCTTATAGGTAAAAGGCAAGAGGGCAGACCAGATAATTGTACAGTTGCATTTAGCATTTCCCTTTAGGAGAACAATGGACTTGGGCTGAAAGCCCAATGTGACCTGATCACTAACTATTTATTCCCTTTGTTACTGAAGTCAAAATATCCAGGAAAAAAAAAGTTTAACACACCCTTGGATAGAGATGATTTATTTTTACCAGCTGCAGCCCAGCTTATAAAATGAAAGCTCATACATACTGTAGCAAACCATCTGTCAAGGGGAATCCAGATGAGCTAAACAGATGCAACAATTCAAGTTATTTCTGACATGCATAAATAAAACTAGCTTGGAATCAGGATTAAAAAACACCCAAATCTTAAATGTTTTAAAAATGTTAACGGGAACTCATCAGTGTCCGATACCCCTCTATAAACTGAGCATTTCAGTGGGTTAGAGAAGTTTTCTATTCTTAACTTTCTCCTTCTTGAGAACTTAGAACAGTAGAGTGTGGACAAATGATAAGAGAGCCCTCTAATGCTCTTGAATTAAATAGAAAACACAAACTTTGGATGGATGAAGGAAAAGCTGTAAGTAAAAATAGTAAAAGTTTACGGGTGCTTACCACATGGCAGGCAGTGTGCCTTGCGCATGTTAATTGATTTAATCCTCACAACAGCTCTATGGGATAAGCACTTTTACTGTTCCCATTTAACAGATGAGAAAACTGAGGTTAGGGACCTTGACTGGGGCCACACCACTAGTAAGTAGCAGAGCCAAAGCCTGTGCACCAAACCTTTATGCTCCATTGGCTGTGGATGCACAGGTAGTCTTTTCTAGATCGCAGGGAACGGGTAGCTAGGAGCAAGATCTAGCCATCCTTGACTCCCAGAGAACCCTAACTGTCCTTGTTCAGGTTCTTCTAGTGCAGAATAAAAACAGGCAGAGAGCAATAGATGGGGCAGTCTGGGGGTCTGCAGGGTCCATTTTCCTACCCACGGCCCAGCTTCCTCTGTTGTTAACAAAACCGGCACCTTTTCCCAGTCAGACTCTACTTTTGGACCTCCTCTGTTGGACCCAGCTCTAAACTCTCCAGTTCCTGGCAGGCCTTTACCACATGCTTTTCTCTTTGAATTTGCATTCTGCTCCGTGTCTTTTCATTTTAACAGCTGCATATGAAAGTAAATTAAAACTGAGATGAGAGGAATTCTGACTGTAGAAAAGGTTTCTCAGCAGCAGTTTCTCAAAGCGTGGTTGGTCCTCTGCTGCCTACATGGGTATTACTTTCAGTACTTGACAGAAGGGCAGATTCCAGGCTCTGCCCCATACCTCAGCAATCAGACTGTGGGTGCCCAGCTTACAGATCTGTCTCTTCAACAAGGTCTCCAGGTGATTCTAATGCATACTAAAGTTTGAGAACCATTGATGGATATAGAGGGTTTCATGCTTTACAACCCCAGTAGTGATACTATCTTGCTTATCCAGGAAAGCACTGAAGTCTCCATAGAAAAAGAACGAGAACTTAGGAGGTGCTTTTTAACAAGTTAGCATTTGCAGTTCACATAACAATGCGTAGGCTGCTGACTACTGAAATATTAAAATGTAATGGGTAGCATGGGAGCCCTGGTGGTGCAGTGGGTTAAAGTGGTAGGCTGCTAATCAAAAGGTTGGCAGTTCAAACCCACCAGCTGCTCTGAGTGAGAAAGATGTGGCAGTCTGGTAGCATAGTGTTTTGAAAATTTCACCCTAGGTTTCTGCAGAAACAATTGTCTTACAAAGCCAGACAAGAAAACAGCCTTTCACAGGAAATTAGATGCTCAGCCGATTAATAGTTCTGACCCAGGAGGTATGGGCAAGGGACAGGGAACGGGCACTTTTAAAATGCTCTCCCAAGTGATGCTGTTAATTGTCTGGCTTCAGAGTGGCCTCAGCAACCTCTTCAGCCAATTAACAGAACAAAGAGAGTAACAGAACAAAGGCAAGAGGAGGGAACTTCTGACTTCCTACCTACGACCTCCAAACCTGTAGCTATTTTCCTAGAAAATTTTATCATGATTCTGGGGATGCATTTGAACATCTTATCCCAGATTGGACTTAAATTATTGACGGTGGAGTCCATCATCCAAAACCCACACCACTCTCTACCCTATTTTGAAATTAGACCCCAGAAACCTCAAAGGCCTCCCCAGCAGGTCTAGATCCCCAACAGTTTGCACATCCCATCTGAGGGAGATGGCCTGACCTCATCTGTGGCTTCTCAATGAGAAAGGAGCAGGTTCCAAAGAAAGCAATTATCAGCATCACCTGGGTGGGCATTTATAAAGTACTCATTCCCCAGCCCTAACTGAATCAGAACCATTTAGGGATGGGGCCCAGAAATCTGTATATGATAAAGTTCCCAAGATGATATGATATGATAATCGGCATAATTTGGCAAACACCATACCAAAATCTAAATTATACTACATTGCCACCTCTGGCGTACCTTATTAACACGTGGTCTCCATTACAAAAACTTACCTAGTCTTTCTGCCTTGTGAGTTTTTGGAAAATAGTACTTCGTAGGGAAGAGGTTTTAGTTCAAATGGAAGTCATGTACCTGCTTCTTTCCAAATGCAAAGGAGGATTTACCTTGAAGCTAATGATACGGAAGCTTCAGGGACTCTTGCATGCATGGCCCCCTTCCAAGGTACTGCATATAATTTTAAGATGTAATTTTGTATTCATTTTCTGAAGTAGGGCATTCCAAATTGTATAAACTTTAGGGCACCACAAAATCTGAATCTGCCCGTCTATAAATGACAGTGTAGATGACAAAGCCACACAAAATAGCTCTGAATTAAATATTCTTAATAGCTTGATTATTTTCTTATCAGTGGGTTTGCCAATTATTTTATTTGTAACCTGATGTTTCTGTACTTAAGCAGTATATTTTTGACAGGCATTCTGATACTCAGTCAGAAACAATATTAGTGCAATGATGGGCTGGGACAAGAGCTGATAGCAAGAACAGATGGTCCAGGCAAAAGCTCACCCACAGGGACATGATGATGCCATGTGTGTGATAGCTGTTTTAGAAGTCTGAGTGGGTAGCATGCTGCAGAGATTAAGTGGGGACTCTGAAACTACACTATGTGACCTGCACTCAAATTGATTGATTTATCCAGTGAATTTAATACATAGGCCTTATTCATTCTGAAGAGGCAAAGAAACCTGCTGCATCGTCCCTATTCATGAGCTCATTCTCCAATTTAGGAATGTCGCTTCACACTCAAAGCAGAAAACAGCCTCCTAGTTGGGAAGCAAAGGCTTTTTGCAGTACTCAGATGTTAACATTTTCTGTGCTCAGGCTATTTTTATTCGGCAGCACAGACGCTAGTGTAAGCACAGATTTCTTCAGCAGTTTTTATTATAGCAGGTGTGGGATCCTAGGCCATTGTTCTTTAAAACACACACATTCACTACCTGCATTTGAACAGCTCAGGAACTAATGCCATCCTTTATTCGTGATCATTCATCTGTCTGCTTCTTCTTTAAAAAAAAAAAAAAAAAAAGATATAAACCGTAGTTCCATAAAGCCTTTTTTTTAGATGAGAATGACTGAAATGTTGTAAAAGAATATTATAATAAATCGCATTGGAGCCGTTTCAAAAGCAGGACCTTTGAAAATGAAATATTCTAGGAATTCACAAGAGAATCACTATAGACAAACATAGAACATGAGTTCTGCCACAGAAGTAGGTCTTACTTAAACAAGAAGTGGCCTAACTCCCTAAAAGCATGTGGACTGATCGTAGCTCTAGTTCACCACTGTTTTTTTTGTTTGTTTGTTTCAGCAGTAAACGAAGAAGGAACACATGTTGAGAGTATCAGTGTTGAGAAAAATATGTTGAGTGGTATTTTGTGAAAAAGAAACCCACTCAATGAACAAAATCAAGGTAGAGTAGTATTTGGAGTATAGCAGAGATAACTAGCTACCCATACCAAAGATTTTCTCTCCGTCTTTGATAATACTATACTAGAATGTTAGACCTGATACCAGAAGTGGCTGCCCAAAGCAGAACTACATTTCTCTGCTTTCCTTAAATCAAAGTGCAGTTATTTGACTAGTTATCAGCAATGGAATGTGAGTGGAGGTGATACGTTTCTTTCCCAGGCCAAGGTGGTTAAGAAACAGGTAAGCCTTCTTCACCATTTCCCTCATCCTCTTTATTCCCAGTTGCCTGTTAGATGTTGAAGTTGAAGTTAGTAGCATCACCAGTAGCCTAGATCCCAGAATTACTGTGTGGAGTAGAACTTCCAGCTGACCTGGAACCACCCTGCACTGTTAAGCAAGTGAGGAATAAAATAATATTGATGTGTGCCTCTGAAATGTTATGGTTTGCTTTTTTAAAAGTAGTTAGCATTGCCTTAATACAAGGAGAGAGTCAAATGGCGCTCAACGTTATACCATACCTGTTATGTGAATATGATATTCCTCCTTGAAGATCTTCTGGAAGAAAGGAATCTTGAATTGCACGTGAGAAGTGTGCAATCCAGGGAGATTTACATCGACATCTCCCATGAAATGTGGGAATTCCCAGTCCTGTCAGAGAAAATCAACACAAAAGACATATTTATGATTTGTTTCACTTCTAAGTGGCAAAACTCCCAAATTTGACTTTTTATAAGCACTTATTTTAAAATCATTTAAATGCTGCCAGCTGTTGGATGCATTAGTTTAGTTCTGTGATAGTTACTTTATATACATTAGATCACTGTATGCATTTAAAATAAAAATTAAGTCATAACTTATATCCTCAGATTTTCTCTTAATGTGGTAATAAGAAACCAATACAGAATTGATTCACATCTATATATGTTTATACCTTTCATTCTGAAAAATTGATCTTACCTCTTATAGGAAGGAAGTGATTAAAATTTTACAAATATGGGGTAATTTTGTTATATATTTTTTGCTACTTTAAAAAAATGTGAAACATATAACAGCATATTTTGTGTAAGACACAGTAACCAATTTCTTCAATTCAATCAAGGAACTTTTATCAATTATCTCTGCTTCTTTCTTGCAATCTAGCATTAGTTTGAACCAAACAATAGAAGGCCTGAAGTAGCAGTATAAGAGACCAAGACTGAATTAATTCCCAAGTTGTCACTAGTTATTTCCTTATTGCTTAGGCAAAATTGGGTGGGGTGACCCTCCCTCTCATAAGAAAGGGAAACAGATGTAAATGAGGATATCTTTCTGTGTCTCACCTACTCTTCATTTTCAGATGTTGTTTTTAGTTGCTGGGGAGTCAGTTCTGACTCATGGTGATCCCATGTGGTTGCCATTTTTAGATAAAGTCACCAAATTCAGTTCAATACTACTATGTGAAGAGACACTACACTAAATTTGAAGAAAACATTTGAGATATATCCATAGGCATTAAGATACACATTTTTTAATTTTAAAAACTAAATAATCAGTCCTATATTTGGTGATTTTTAAAAAGAATTTGAATATGAAAAAATTAATGAAAAATATTAGTCTGAAATTTCAGTTCATTATCTCAGTTATAAAAAGTCACGTTTTCTCAAGGCTTTTCTATATGCAGCTGTTAGAGGTGTACTAGTAATATAGTGCCTGAACTTTTAGGGGTTTCCATGTCCTGTTCTGCTCCCTTCTTTGCTGAGAGTTCTGGTTAGGTAAGAATGGGCCTTGGTAGAATGGAGAGTACGTCAGTGGTGGTAACCAAGTAAGGCTTCAATATCTATCAGTTTGCTTATCTACAGATCACTTCAAGCCGCTAATAACAAATACATATAAAGGAAGAAAAATGAAATAATGAAATTCCATCCCATTCATCAGTGTATATACAAATCTCTTGTTGGTTTCACACCCCCTTTGTTTTTTTAGACGTCAGCAGCAAATAGACATATAATTTGGGAAATTCAGAAAAACCAAAGCATTAGAGCTGAAAGAATTGGGGACAAAAATATTAATAGGAAAGGGACTGGTAATAATACCTGGGAACTACTGCTGAGGTTAAAGTGTATTTGCTTTATTTTTCACTGATCCTGTCTTTGTTCTTTCTGTTACTTAGAAGACCCTTGCAAAGAGAATTAAAATTGAATTTAGTCTTTTGCTAAAATACAACTGATGAAAAACTATGCTTGACAAAGGGACTGATAACCAGAGTATCCTTCATTTGCCCTAGATAAATGACACAAAGCATTTCCAACAGAGAAATTATCTTTTTATTGCTTGATTTAAGGAAGAGAATTATTCTTGATAGGAATTGGGCAAGTACACTTAAAATTAGCTTCTTTTTGGAAAGACATTCTTGGACTGCTCCCATTTGACTTTTCCTTCCACGAACTAAATTTTTCTACTGCGTATGAAGTGGTTTTAGTTTGAAAGCAGTCTCAAGAGATTTTTTTGCAGACTATGATCAAATCCTCATTCACCAAAAAAGAGCTCCTTAGTTATTTCCCAGCTGTCCCTGGAGACAGAAAGATGAGTTAAGGAAATGACAGGTGAAGGAAAGAAAGGAAGGGAAAGTCTTGCTCTTTATATGGAAGATGGTCTGAAAGCTTGCTGTTATTAACCCATTTCACAGATGGAAAATTTTTACCTCAGAGAGGTTAAGTCACCTACCCAAGGAGCTATAGGTATCATGTAACAGAGCTTAGGTTTTATTTGGCTCTAAAGACTACATACTTTCTTCTAGGCCACACTGTCTCTAACTGTGAAAAATGACATCATCTACAGTTTTTGTTTTTTTCAGAACTGGATTATTCTTACCTGCTATATTTGTTCTAATTGATAATCACTGATGGCAGTAATTAACCTGCTCATCTCAGCAAAAGCCAGTTTAATGAGGGTCTTTAAATGACTTTTTGTTTTTCCCTGGAGGCTTCTCATTTGATTTATCTGGCCCTAGTTAGAACAACCATCACCCATCTGTCAGTTTGTCATACTGTGGTGGCTTCTGTGTTGCTATGATGCTAAAAACTATGCCACCAGTATTTCAAATACCAGCAGGGTTACCCATAGTGGATAGGTTTCAGGCGAGCTTCCAGAATAAGACAGACTAGGAAGAAAAGCCTGGAGATCTACTTCTGAAAATAGTCATTGAAAACCTTATGACTTCATTGAAATTTTGGACATGTCATCAGGAGGGATCAATAGTTGGAGGGAAAGATCATGTTTGGTGAAGCAGAGGGCCAGCAAGGGTGAGGGAGACCCCCAGTAAGATGGATTGGCACAATAGCCCCAACAATGGACTTGAACTTGCTGCAATGATGCAGAACTGGGCAACATTTCATTTTGTTGTATGTAAAGTCACCATGAGTCCAAGTCGACTTGAGGGTAGCTAACAACAACAACAAAAGTTAGAACAAAAAAAGAAGACCAACTGGAACTTTCTCCACCCAGCAACTGTCCCTGGAGTCTGATAACTGGGAAGATTTGGCTAATGGACGATTATTAGCAAACAGTGAGATTCTCTTGGCATCATAACAGCCAGTTTCATATGCAGACTATATAGCAATGTTACGAGAGTTATAACCTTTTTTCCTTCTGAATAAATGCAAAATATATTTTTGAAGCACAACGTGAAAATGTTGAATGCAGAGAATGATGAAGCAAAGTGTGTTTGTCTACTCAGCCCCAGGCTAGGAGCAGGCTGATCCTGGGATTGCGTTTCACTTAATGTTCATTTATTTTGTTCTTCAAAAATGTTATCAGTGTTTAGTAATTCAAAGCTTCCTTACTTCTCTCTGTTATTCAATCTAACAATGACTGCAGAGGTCTATCAGATTTGTGGCTCAGTGATGTGAGAATTATTTAGGCATATCATTGTATCACCCTATTCCAGTTCTCATCAGTTCCTGGTGATGTACACAGTGTTAACAGACTCCCAACTTTGCCTCTTGCTTCAAATATGAGACACAGCCAATTTTCATTCAGATGGGCATATTTCCCATATAAAAATAAATGAGCAGTGCCATGATATATATCTATACTTATTTCTTGAATGGTGTGGTTTACTTCTGCGCATAGCAATAAAACATCAGGTACTGCGATCTCTATTATTCATGGGCCACATTTGGACAGAATCGGAGGGCAATGTTAAACAAAAAGGCAAGATGGTCTCAAGACATCCTGGATTCATCATTTCTCCATGTTTTCTCATTGAGATCCATGCCTCAGGGTCGAGAAAAACAACTTGGTATTATGCAGAGGAACTCAAGCTTGAAACCAGCACTGTTTTGATTTCCTCCATCTGGCACTCATTTCCCCAAATCAAATGAAGAGACTTCATTTCTATTTAGAGATGTGTTAGAGGGTAAAGATGTAATAACACCGATTTCTCTACTTTGTGAAACGAAAGGCATAGTATCAGAACAAAAGTTATATATCCTGGGATAAAGATTAGGCACTTGGTTTTTGAGGAAATTGATAGATTAGATTAGACTTTACTGAGTAGTATTGCTAACCATTTAGAATAGAAATGGCAATAGCTTCTAAAATGTTAGTGTAAAATACCAACATTTTTTTCAGTGTAATAATTTGTATATCTCCTCTTTACTGGGATTAGATTATTGAGTTTTAAATGATCTTTCTCTCTTTGCTGATTTATATTCTGCCATATTTCAGAACTGAATTTAGATTCATGTATATCAGAACATTATTCTACCAAGAACTTCCTCAGCTTGTAAAGTGTCCTTAGCTTTCCTACGCTTAGCAGTGTCCTAGCAACAGTATTTCAGATGTCAGTGAGCAGTGGCAGCCCAAAGAATTGTACTCATGCTTTGGGTGATGTTTTTGTTTCTTAAGAACCTTGAGTGCCTGATTTCTCTGCAACCCCGTGCTGCTTCTAATGGGCACAGTTGCTGTAGTATCACTTGGCTGAATAAATTCTTAGAAACCTTGACATATAATAGATTTTGCTTTTTCATTTATTTATTGTCCATCTCCCCCACTGGAATGTGAGCTCCAAGGAGCTTATAGAAACTTTGTCTGTTTTGTTCACTGCTGTATTCCCTATACCTGAAATAGTGCTCAGCACATAGTAAGAACTCAAGGATTTCCTGGACTGATGAATAGAGCTCTCTGAAAGTAAAAATACACAACAATCCCTTTTTGGTTTCATGTAAATGGAAACCAAGAATGGATTTAGGTAATAGAGACAACACAACAAATACTTGTTTCTATCTGGAAGTAACAATCATGAGGATGGTGCAGGACTGGGCAGTGTTTCGTTCTGTTGTACACAGGGTCACTATGAGTCGGAATTGACTCAACAACACCTAACAACAACATTTGTAAGTAGGTGACTCTATATGTGTAAATATTATACATCAACTTAAGACTCATTAATATAAAAAAATCGGTTGTTTCCCTATAAACTAGGTATACTGGAGTCATGCGGAGTGTAACACAAAAGTTATGCCATTTGCCAAAGATCACAGAGGAGAGGAGTCAGTGGATAGTCAGAGAAAGAAAATGGAGGTCAAATGTACATATTTTGAAACAAAGCAGTTAATGTTTGGAGAGTTAGTAAAAATGTGTGCTGAGATGATCCAAGACACACTCTT